TTATTTTATTGATGTTTTCTGTTGTGTTTTTTCTCTGCCATCTAAGTTGACCTTGAGATCTCTGAAAGGCGCCTATATATAAAATGTATTGTTATTATTATGTTTCGTTTCCACACACTCACCTGATGTGTCGTTGTTTAGGTGTGTGCGACCTGCTTCGACCTGTCCGTCAGTCTGCTGCGAGTCTTGGAGATGACCGTCACTCTGGTTCCTGAGATCTTCCTCGACTGGTCCCGCCCCTCAGCAGAGCTGCTGCTCAGACGACTGGCTCAGGTAATAATAATAATAATATAAGTGTTGTGTGTGTGTGTGTGTGAGTGTGTTTGTGAGACAGTGAGTGAGATGATAAACTTGTGTGTTTTCTCTGCAGTTGTTGAACCAGGTTTTGAACAGAGTGACGGCAGAGAAGAACCTGTTCGATCGTGTTGTCAACTTAAGACTTCCAGGTAGACACACACACACACACACACACATCACACACATAAAGTGTGTCAGTATGAAACATGTTGTGTGTGTCTCCGTCTTTGTTGCAGGTCTGGAGAGTGTCGATCATTATCCGATCCTCGTTGCTGTCACAGGGATCCTGGTTCGGATCCTGGTTGACGGAGACAGACAGGGGTGAGTTTGAGCTGATGTTTTTACCCATGATACACCTGAGTGCAGTCAGACCTAAATGTAAACTGAAACGTGATTGGTTGGTGAGGGTGTAAAAGCAGAAGGTAGTGATTCTGGTGTTAGTGCGTCCATGGCTGTGCTGTGTTGTTGAGAACACACTTATGTGCTCAGCTACATTTCCATGTATCCTGTATGCACAGCAGCGCTCTGATGTTCATGAGTTTTCAGTTGTGGAATTAATTAATTCATTAATTTTTCACGTGTCTCCGGCTGCAGATGCTCTCACTCATTAGCTGAATGAGACCAGGCATCCAATCGGCAGCCTCCAGCTCTCAGCTTGTTTCATGTTAACGCACTGCCGCCTGCAATATTAACCTCAACCACTGGAGGGTGCTCAGGTGTTTCAATCAATCAATCAATCCAATTTTATTTGTTTAGCCCATATTCACTAATCACAATTTGTCTCATAGGCTTTAACAAGCTGTGACATCATCTGTTCTTAACACAACAAGAAAAATCTTTTAAGAGAGAAAAAGAACGTGATCCACCATCATGATCCATGATGTGGCTGCAGTCGCTGCCCTGGATCTGTGAACGATAAGGCACAGGGACTCCGGGGAAGAAGTCAAGCCAATAACATTTGTTGATGAGACATTAAGATATTTGATGTGATAAGGAGAGAGGAGGAGCTGAGAGAAGCTCCATGTGTCATGTGTTCCTCCACATTCTAAAGCTACAGCAGCAGAACCCAGAGCTGATCTAAGACGAGTCTGGACCAGCTCTAACTATAAGCTTTATCATAAAGGAAGGTTTAAAGCCGACTCTTAAACACTGAGAGGAGGTCTGCCTCCTGAACTGAACCTGAGATGATTCCACAGGAGAGGAGCCTGGTGCTGAAAGCTCTGGCTCCTCCTCTACTTTTAGAGACTTTAGGGACAACAAGTAAGTCTGAATTCTGGGAGCTCAGGGCTCTAGTGGTGATATGGTACTTTGAGCTCTTTAAGGTATGATGGTGTCATATTATTAATGTAGGTGAGGAGGAGGATTTAAAATTCTATTCTCAGTTTAACAGGAAGCCAGTGTAGTGAAGCTAATACAGGAGACATGTGGTCTCTGTCCCCGGTTCTTGTCAGGACACGTGCTGCAGCATTTAAAAAAAAGTGCAGAGTCTTCAACGACTCACTGCTGGAGCCTGATAACAAGGAATTACAATAATCAAGTCTGGATGTGACAAAGACCTGGACGAGTGTTTCTGCATGTTTGTGAGACATGTCTGATTTTAGAGATATTACGTATATGTATATTACGTATATGTATATTACGTGAAACAAGTCCTAGAAATGAGTTTTAAGTGAGAATCAAGGGACAAATCGGGATCAAAGATCACTCACTAATTCCTGATGTTTCATTGGAAGCGAGGGTAAAGTGCAGCTTCATCATTAGATAATGTATCTCTAAGGTGTTGAGGGCCGAGTATTAGAACCTCTGTCTTATCTGAGTTTAATAAGAGCAAACTGCAGCTCATCCAGGTTTTTATTTCCTCGAGACATGAAGTTTAGTTCGTTGATGACACTGTTCTGGTTTTATTGATAAGTATAACTGGGTGTCAGTGGAAATTTACAGTGTGTCCTGATAATGTTTCATAGTGGGAGTATGTAGTATTGTCAGGAAATCATTAACACAACCCACTGGATCCATGCACAACTGTCTCAAACCCCACCTAGTGGTGGGCAGCTGCATAACAATCGTAGCCACAACTCGGTTGAATGAGCGACCTCTGACCTTGACGACCTGTGGGTTCGTTCATTAACATCTCAACAAACAGACATCCACCGTCTCCAGCAGGGGTCACTGTCCGACGTGACGTCAGTGCTTCTGTTTCCTCCATCACTCTGCTCTCTGTGCCTCACTTCTTTATTTGGGTAGTGTTATTTTCACCTCCCCCCATTCACAATGGTGCTGTTACCACCCCTCCCCCACCCTCTGCACTGTAGAAAATCAATGATGCTAATTATTGTCCATTACCTCGGGCTGAACGACAGGAGCAGCAGCTTGAAGCCTCTCACAGATTAGATTGAGACTGAGGCTAATTAGCTTAGCAGTGTTGGAGCACGAAGGCCTCGGCTCTGGGATGTTGTTGCTCGACCTCCTGCAGGTTTATTGTCGTCCCTCAGCTGGAGAATAGTGAGACGAAGGTTTCCCTCCGTGGTCACGACGTTAACTCTGAGATCAGACGTGTTCATGTTGATCAGCAGGAGACGGGATAATAACACATTTTATTTAACAGGAAGGATGATGAGGTTGATGAAAGATGAGTCAGTTACATTGAATGAAAACATTTAGATGATTGATTTGTTGATAAGAACAGAGGCAGATTTTCACATTATTCAGTGTTTGTGTTAGCACGGAGAGATGTTTGTGAAACAGTAAGACGCCACAAAGAGAAGAACAGCAACACAAATAATCATCCTCCGAGACGCAGCAAGGAAACACACAATGACATCTCCACAGGTCAGTGCATGGAGCTGAGCAGCAACAAAAAGCAACACATACACAAATCTGACACATTCAGCTACACGACAATCTTCATGAAACTTCCCTCTATCTACTCACCACAATGAATGATGGGCACTGTGCCCATCATTCTGCCCCCGGAGTGTCATCAAGTAACCGCGAGCCAAGTTTTCAGTCTAAATGTCTCTGATATCCTGCTCGGAGGCCGTTCACGTAGGCAGACACACCTGAAAACCGCGTGTTAGTCCTAGAAGCAGCAGGACATTGTCCCAGTCAGAAAACACATCACTGTCCTCAGACTGTCCATCGCTGCAGCTCCTCTTTTCAGCCTCTGTCTCAAACCCTTGGTTTTAGCTCCTGTCTCTTTAAGTCCCCCCTCCTCATGAAGGCTTTACTGATTGGTCAGCTGCTCCACTCTGATGTGATTGGTCAGCAGTCACATGATGAAGTTGTAGGACGTCTGTACACTGACGGAGCCAGAAAACAAGCTAACACACTGAACTAAGGGTTACTGCTGCCATTAATGTGCTCATTTACATAATACTCATTTATTTTAGTCAACATTAATACATTACAGGTTTCTGTACTTTACTTGAATATTTATTTTCCTGATGACTTTTTACTTTTACTCGCTTCATTTGAACACAAATATCTGTACTTTCTACTTCTTACATTGTCAAAACTGGTTCGTGTGTACAGAGGACAGGGACTTAATCAAGGCCAGCACATTCTCTCCATGTATTCCTTGTTCAGACTGATCCAGGTGCAGGACCTCGTTCACAGTCTTTGTCATTCTGTCTGAGTGATTTTCTCTGGTCCAGCTCTGTGCAGGTTGTTCACAAGTTATCAGAAGAGGCTTCGTGTATCATTGAAGTTAAAAATGTATTTTTACTTTGTACTTAAAGCTCCAGTGAGTCAGATTCAGGTGAAAGGATCTATTGGCAGAAATTTAATGTAGAATAATCCTCATGATGATTTCACTAGTTTATTTCATCTAAATTGTTTGAATTGTAGTTTTCTTTACCCCAGAAAAGACCCTTTGTATTTACATACTTTATGTTTAAATACTTAATGTTTAAATACTCGAGTATTTACATGGAGGACATGGACTGGACCTTTAAGTACATTTCTTTCTGTACTTTCTTACTTTTACTTGAGTAAAGGCGTTGAATCAGTACTTCAGACCCCACCTCTTCACGTGGTTAATGAAACGACCTTTAACCTTCTGTCACATGACAGCAGCTATTTATCGACTTCTAATTGGTTTTATTGATTTCACTCGTTCATTGTGTTTGTTGTTTGCCGCCTCGTGTCTGATTGATTCACACAGAGCTGTGACATGTTCTACACAAACATTTTCAGTCATGTGACGGTGGGGGGGGGCAGTTAGAGTCAGTCAGCTGAAACACAGTTTACTGTTTTCTTCTCTGATTGGACGATATCATCTCACTTCAGTCACACAAACAGATCAATGTTTGCATAACTGTGTGTGTGTGTGTTTGTGCGTCGCTGTCGGCTCCGCAGCAGATCTCCCATCATTCTGGTCTTCTGTTACCGTGGAAACGACAGAGCAGAGTATAAATTGGAGTCTGGATGTGGAGGGTGGGAGACGGCGACGCTCTGAACAAAGTAGAAGGAAAATGAGACGGAGGAAAGGAGAGATGGAGGCGTGAAGGGTCAGAGTTCAGGTAGCCAGACGAGGGGAGAGAGATTCACAAAGACAGATGAGAGGATTCAGGAGGAAGGAGAGAGTAGAGATGAGACAGAGAGGTCTGAGGGGAGGAGAGGGTTAAAACAGAGGAGTGAAGAGAGAATGGAGGGAGGAGAGGATAGAGGAGGGAGGAGAGAAAACAAGAGGAAGAGAGGATGGAGGAGGGAGGAGAAAAAACAGAAGGAAGAGAGGATAGAGGGAGGAGAGTATAGAGGTGGGAGGAGAGAAAACAGGAGGAAGAGAGGATAGAGGAGGGAGGAGAGAAAACAGGAGGAAGAGAGGATGGAGGGAGTAGAGGATAGAGGAGGGAGGAGAGGATGGAGGAAGAGAGGATGGAGGGAGGAGAGAAAACAAATAATATTTCAGTGATAGAAACATTTGACTCCATCTTGGTTCAGATCCTGATTTTCTTTAAATCAGCTGTTTGTCATCACGTCACATGACTTCAGCTGCATCGTTAACTCATTAACATAAATCAGCTGATGTCGTTGTGGGGTTAAGACGCCCCCCACAGGCGACCAGGTGAAAGGTTGTGTTGATTTCCAGATAAATCGCAGACCTGTGAAGAGGAAGTTGTTCAATCAGCTGATCTTGACTCATCATCAACAAAACAACGTATGAATTGATTTCATCAGGGTCAAAGGTCACTGTGACCTCATGACTGGACATAAAGTGGATGGAAGTGCTCCGGTTGCTCTGATGTGGTTCTAGATTCTCTACTGAAGTCAGTTACACATCTGGACCCTCTGAACACACACACCTTTCTACAGTTCAGTGAATAAGACGAGTGTGTGTGTGCTGATCAGTCGATCTGATCATGAGTCTGGCACAGAAAACAAGCTAACACGCTAAACTAATGGCTACTGCTGCCATTAATGTGCTCATTTACATAATACTAATTAATTTTAATCAACATCAATGTGATTCAGTGAGAACGGCCGCAAAATAACCAGGAAGACGTGAAATCGTTGATTTAAACCTGATGTTAAAACCAGAGATGAAAGTTGTTATTATTATAATCATAGTATTTAGTAATTATTCTCATGATTTCCCCACGATCAGATTCTTCAGAACATGGATATCCATGATGTTTTAACGTTTCCTTCAGTATCAACGTGATTCTTCACTGAGTTCACTGCAAACAGGAAACAACAATCTTTTATTTTGACAGACCGTTTATATAATGTAAAATATATTACCTCAAAGCTAAAAGTAAAACTAGAGGAAGTTGTTGTTTTCTACATGAATGATTAATAATAATTATTTATTTGAAAACAGATGATGTGTGTGATTTAAATCTGATAGTCTTTTGTGTCTCCGTGTCTCTGTGTGTGTGTGTGTGTGTGTGTGTGTTTGTGTGTGTGTGTGTGTAATTGTAAGTGTGTAAGTGTGTGTAATTTGCACCAAAACACTGAGCATGAGGGAAAAACTCGTAAATATTTAATGTCAGCTCTGCCCTCCATTTCATATAAGTGGATCTCACACACTCACCCACACACTGTGCAGAAGGTAGTTTGCAGGGTAGAGCCATATACTCACACAGTCACAGAGGCATGATGGGAATTGAGACCGACTGGCTGCAGTCATGATGATTGTGTGACTCGTTGTTTTGTTCAGTTACAGAATCAGATTTTTATTTCAACCTGATTCTGTTCACACTCAGTCAGACTTTCAAAATAAAAGCAGCTGAACTGTGATTGGCTGCTGTTTGCAGTGAACTCAGTGATGAACAGTCGTTGAATCTCTGTGATACTGAAGGAAACTTGAAAACATCCAGATTCGACTTGGAGTTCTGCAGAATCTGATTTGAAGGTTCAGTGTGTCTAATTTAGTGACACCTAGAGGTGAAGTTTCATGTTGCAGCTGAACACCCCTCATCTCACCCCCCCCTTCCCAACATGACAGAGAACCTGTGGTGGAATATAAACATCCGTTCGATGGTAAAGAAAACTACAATTCATACAATTTAGATGAAACACAACAGTGAAAACATCACAAGGATTATTTTAGATTCAGTTTCTGCCAATAGATCCCTTTCACCTAAATCTCACACACTGAACCTTTAAGAGTTTAACGTTCAGAAGCCCCCCCCACTGGGACGTCCCTCTCTGATTGGATGATCTTCCTAATGATCTGCTGGTAACACTGCTTGTGTTGTGTTCACTGGCATCATGTTCATTTGATTTATAGCATGAAGCCAACACAGGAAGTGAACAAGGGAAGATCAACGATCCATTTATGTCGTAGTGGTGGGTTTGAGTTTGTGTGCAGCGTTCCTTTGTTTTTATACCTGAATGTGTGTGTGTGTGTTTTCTCTTCATGAGTCACGACCCAGAGAAGACCTCATTAGATTCTGGAGCAGATCCAGAAATGTTTTATCACGTTCTTTAACATGACGAGACACGGTTGTTAACCTTGTGAACGTCCTTCTGGTTTATGACTGAACTGAGATTCATCACTGAATAATGTTTAACAAAATCACACGTGTTGATCAGTTTGATCACATGACTTCATTTGAGTTGTGTGGTGACACACACACACACACACCTACACACACAGTGATGAAATGATCTCTCAGCAGACTGAGGAAAGTACATTAGTAAAGATTGATTATAATGACGTCTCCAGGCTGAATTAATGTTTGACCATAGTTAGTATACGACCATGTATATGTATAATATATGATGGTATATAACAGTGTAGCTCTGCTGCAGGTTCATTGATTGTGTTACGGTGTAAAGCAGCCGCAGTGATGCGTTCATGTACAGGAATGAGAGAAGTGAGGCATTCAGGTTCCTCCTGAAGTTAAAACCTGACATCAGGATGCTGAGTCAGTCAGAAGCAGAGAACTGATGTGAGCGGACGAGTCTCACAGTGAAGAACACTAACGTGCTCCAGATGTTAATACTGATGATAATGCAGATGTGTTTGGACGAGTTTCTTTGTGTTGATGTTTCTGCATCGATTCTGTCAGAAAGTTCTCAGAACAACCAGTTTGCTATAAAGCTGGGATACTTCAATCACACAGTCTGAGGCTCCGCCCACATTGACAGTTCGTTTTAAAACCCATCACTGTTGCTATGGTTACGCCTGGTGGAGTTCTCTAGCCTCTGAATCAGACACTTGTGTGAATTGATCTCGTTTTAGTTTGAAAACTCTGGGTTTGTGTTTTTGTCTGAACAGAAACTGAGACTTCAGTAAACAGCGACGCAGACGTTCTCTTCTGATTGGCTCTCGTGGCTCATGATCCAGTGATTATAGAAAATGATCAGTAAGAATAAAACATTCATTAGAGTACTAAGAGACTCTATGATAGTAAATGGTGAATAAGTGCAAAGTGCTTTGTGAACACACACACTTGATGTGAGTATTAATAAGAAGAAGCTGACGTTCTGCAGATACAGAGTTTTATTCAGACACATATAGAGTGAGAGGACGACAGGATGCAGTGAGCACAGTGAAGACAGTGAAAACAAAAAGATCACGTCGGCCACGATTGTCCCGTCTGTCCATTTACTTTCACTTTAATCGTCTCAGACTCAGAAACAAAAACATCCAACAGATAAACTTCACATGAACTCACCGAACACAGACTCTTCTCCTCCTACATTAATAACTTCAACTGATGCTCCGCAGCTTTATTTATTTATCCCTTTCCTTCCTGTTTGTTCTCCTGATGATCAAGCTACGGGGGGGAGACAGAATCAAACCTACCCTTTCAAACTGTTTCTATTTTTATGACTAAAAGCTCTTGTTCTGGAGGTCATCTGCTCTGAAACGTTTGACACTGTGACAGCGCGGCGCTCACATCAGCTCTAATCAACTAAAACGGAAAAACCAGGAGATGCTAAAAAGCTCTAGAAAAAGAATTCTCTACTTGTCTTTGTGAGACTAGAAGGCATCTGTAGCGAATGTTTGTTAAAGGTAAAGCCGTGCGTAAAGGGACAGCCCTCTGCTTTTCACTAGCAGTCCATGCTAAAGGTGCTCCTCACCCCCCTCACCCATAATGAGTGTCTGCTCTCCGTCTCTCAGCCTCGACTTAAAAATCCTTTTACTGTCTTTGGTATCGTTTACTTCTGCCTGAGAGTCTGTCCCATCACAGTGTGTTGTTGGTCATCAGGGGCCACAGACCTGGTCAAACAATAACGTGCACATTTGGTCAACACTGTTCAAGGTGTTCAAATTGCACTTGCAGCGACAGCTGTCATCTAGTTTCCTGCTCAGGTGAAGTGGTGGTGCAGTGGGGGGAGGGAGTGAGGCAGAGGATGGTGAGAAGTGGTGATTGTTTGTCCCGTTTCTATGGCAACATGATGGGCGTGTCTGAGAACACGGACATGATGGAGTCCGTCTCCTGCGCCCTCTGCTGTGATTGGCCGTGGAGCTTTGGATGTGGCTCTGGCCCTAGAAGTAAACCTGGACCCACGTGTCCTTGCCCCGCCCCAGATCCTGGCCCCACCCTTAGTCTGCCATTCTGCTGCTCTCTGATAGGCTCCAGAAAGACCACATGCTTGTTGGTACTGACCTTGTGGCCTGGGCCCTCGGTGGTTGTTGGTGGAGTTGGGGTGAGGATGGAGGATTGGCCACTTCCTGCCACAGCCTCGTTCCCGGTCTTCTGGCCAGCTGGGGTCAGGGCTTTCGTGCAGGGAGGGCAGCGGCAGGGTGTCAGGTAGAGGTACATGAGAACGAGCACCAGGCTCACCACGCAGCCCAGCAGGGTGGTGAACCCAGTGTTGAAGGACTCATGAGACTCGCTCCCACGGTGCAGCACCACTGTAACGTTGATCTCGCGGGTTTCGTTTCGCTGCTGCTGCTGGTCCAGGGCCATACACCAGTACACACCAGAATCCTCTGCACGCGCAGCCACGATCTCCAAGCTCCCATTGGTGAACATCTTTAACGATCCGTTGTTCCCCGGCGGAGCCACGTACTCCTGATTTGGTGACACCCAGAGAAAGGTGACACTGTGTCCACTGAGCGTGGTCACACAGTGCAGCAGCACCGCCTTTCCCACCCTCACTGAGATGATGCTCTCCTGGTCACTGAGCGGCTGACTCATGGCTGTCAGGTTGCATTTTTCAAAGTATCGGTCGTGCTGGAAGAAGCGGACGGTACCTTTTTGGATTCCATAGACCCGACAGGTGTGCTCTTGTCTGAAGTGTCTCACGGAGGCGTATCCTCTCTGCTCCCAGCGCCTGAACAGTCCATACATCGAACACTCACACTCCAGAGAGTTGTTGTGGAGGTACAGTCCTTTCTGGACAGGAATGGGTAAATTGGCTATTTCATCCAGGGGCAGTTTGAGGAGGTGGTTTGAGGACAAGTCCAGCATGATCAGGTTAGGGTGGCTGTGCTCTTGGATGGTGAAGAAGGGAAAGTGAGTGAGACGGTTATGACTGAGGTAGGCCTTACGCAGGTTACCCAGCCCAGCAAGAGCATTGCTCTCCACCCGAACGATCCTGTTGTCAAACAGCAGCAGCTCCTCCAATCCCGACAACTCCTGGAAGTAATGCTGCTTCAAAACATGTAGCTGATTGGACGACAGGTCCAGGTGTCGGAGCAGTGCTCCAGAGGTGTTTTGAAACGCCCCTAGGTGAATAGTGCTCAGCTGGTTGTGAGCCAACCGTACCATCTCCAGTCGAGAAAGTCCTTCGAAGACGGCCTCTGTTAACTGATCAATCCGGTTGTGGCTGAGATCCAAAGTAATGGCTGACACTGGGATTTCTGCGGGGACCTGCT